CCCCCCCCCCGCGGGGGGGGGGCCGGGGGGCCGCCGCGGGGGGGGGGGGGGGGGGCAGCCGCGGAGGACTTCGCTGGCAGCTGTTGAAGGAGGACGTCTCTGTTCCAGAGGGTCCGGATTGAGCCCCCTCCTCCTGTCCCTGACGTGCAGCCAGAAGATGCACTTCCACACCTCCGCTGCCCTTCGCTGGAGCACTTCAGAGACAACTACCTCATTCCACAGAAGCCTGTGGTCTTAGAGGGGATTATTGACCACTGGCCATGTATGAAGAAGTGGAGGTGAGAAATAAGAGTTTCTTCCCTGTCCTAGTAAGGGTGAGGATCATCTGTGTCGGGTATCTTGGTGCTCGGTAGAGCAGTAGAGACCTTCACAGAAGACAGGTACCATTCGGACTGACTTGTTGCAGCACCGTCCTGCTGTGAGGTTGTCTTTGCTCTGTAGAAGTTGCTCCATAGATGAGGGAAGTGCAGCAGACCATCCAGAGCATTGCACGGTGAGTGCTGCAGCAAACCATCCAGAGCATTGCACGGTGAGTGCCCCGGTGCACCAGGGAGAGCCAGCACTGGCCGGCAGCCCTCAGCACAGCCTCCCGGGGCTGTGCCGGGGAGTGCTCAGGCAAGTTGCAGATGCCCTGTGTGGCTCAGCTGGAAACTAGCAAGGTCCCAGGGAGCCGCTTACATCTCAAGTGGGTCTGTGTCAGACATAGATCAGTGATTTTTACATCTCAGAACTTGGTGATAATTAGCGCAATGGAGGATGAATTTCAGAGATGCGTAAGGAAGGAGGATTGGCTTTTTCATTCACAAGTACAAGCATTGATGTTTGTTCAGTGTCCTGTTTGAGTGTTGAGTTTCAGACATGGCCCTTCAGTAGTGAGTAATAACATTGTGCTGCTTGTGTGCCTTGCTGCTTGCATCTTTTTCTGCTGCCTTTTGTCTCTGGTTGGTTGGTTTGAGAGAGAAGAAACTTACCGCAGTAGAGTTTTGTTACTTTAACAGACTGATTGCCTTACATTCAAGATTAGTAAGAAGAGCAGTATAAAAGGGTAATGGAACTTTCTTTATTTCAGTGTGGACTATTTTTGTCAAGTCGCAGGGTGCCGCACAGTCCCCGTGGAACTGGGAACCCGATACACAGATGAGGAATGGTCTCAGCAGCTTATGACTGTCGGTGACTTCATCAACCAGTACATTGTGAATGAGGTCTGTTACTCTCCTTTTGTTTCATCTCCAAATACAGCAGGGTGTTACTGGTACAGAACTTCTGCTAAGAACAAACATGCCTAGAGGTGATGTCAAGGGAGGAGGTATGCTGTAAGCACAACTCTGAATTAAAAGGTGTGACATAATTTCAAGATAAGAAGCTACAAATACTTACTGCAACAATAGCTAGGTTTGATTTTTGTATATAATGAAAAGTACAGTAGCTGGCATTTGATGAATAGATACTTTCTGCAGCAAAAGCCTGAATGGTGGAGTCTAAGGATAAGGGATCTTCAGCCAGCAGTTTTGTTCCTCTTGGTAATTAAACTGCTTAGTGACATCTAGGATCAAGATCCAAATTCACGTGCCACCAGGTAAAAAAATAAAAAGTTGTTTAGCAGTGGAATGTTCTTTTACTTTCATAGCTGAGGATCTGAAGCCCTCATCTCAGGAAGGACCAAGTGCCGTTGCACATGGTCTGTGGTGCAGCCTGGAATAGGATATTGAGATACTTAGAGGGAGTGAAGGTGAACTAGTCTGTGTACCAGCAGGGTCTAGCCATAAAGATGCAGAGCCATTGTCACAGGATTGACAACAGAACTGTCAAGACTCCGTAGGATTATAGCTAGGCTTCTTCCAGTAACTTCAGCTAGATAATTTGTTGATTGTGGGGATATGTCTGCACTCTTAGAATTTCAGTGTAGCTGTAAGTTACTATTTCAGAAGACCCCCTATACTAGTCAACTGTTGAAACAGTTCTCGTACTCTGAAATCGGACATTGGAAATGGATGTTACCTATAAGTAAATTCTGCTCACCTATAAGCCAGTTAACTGACTGAGAAGTCGTACCCTATATATGACTATGCTTTTTCTTTCTCTGCTGTAATTTCAGAACAGTACAGGATACCTTGCCCAGCACCAGCTTTTTGATCAGGTAAAACTGAGTGAATGTTTTTATCTTTCTGCAGTCAAGTGTTCCCTTTGTAGCACAAGTCATCTCTGAGGATGTCAACTCTACTAGATGGAAGCGCATACAGAGAAGCCAGAGTATTTCTTCAGTTTCTGTTCCCACAATTTGAAGGAACAGAGGGAGGGGTTTGTTCTGTTTGGCTGCAGAGCATGGAAAAGAAACCCTCTCAGGGGTGAAGACTTTCAGTCTTAGTGCTGTTGCTGTACAATGTAGCATATACTTCCAGGGATATCACCTGGAAAGCAGCATTTCCCCAAAGAATATATAAGTCAGAGAAGAGATTTGGACTGGAAACAATCTTCAGTGGTGATATGTTCACCATATTCTGAAATGTCATTCCAGTTAACCAGAGATTAGGTAGGTGGGAGACTTAAAAAGGAATCTCACAGAGAAGCAAGCTTACTGTTTAAAAGATCAGCTGCTCCTTTTTCATGAACAGCAAACCCACTTGTTCTTGTGGGTTTCTCTGGTTTCTGCTAAAGCAAAGGGTCTCTGAAGAATGAGAAACCCTGCTCTTTCTCCCAGCTCTCCTTCCAACAGAATCTGCTTGCTAGGACAGAAAGTGTGAGGACAGTTCCTGCAGATTCCCATCAGTTCAGCTACTTCTATCCTGCCTTTGCTGGACAAGCAGGTCATTTGCTTTCTTTGTGTCAGGCCTTGTTCCTCTGTTCTATGAATTGCATACCTTTGGCAAGTCAGCGCTTACCTTTTTTTTATGTTTATTTCCTTATGGGAGTAGATCCCAGAATTGAAAGAAGATATCAGTATCCCTGACTACTGCTGCCTGGGGGAAGGGGAAGAAGATGACATCACCATTAATGCTTGGTTTGGTCCAGAAGGCACTATCTCACCTCTTCATCAGGATCCCCAGCAAAATTTTTTAGCCCAGGTCTGTACTCTACTTATTCTACAAATGCCATTAATGCTATAGCTAGAAAAAATGGTTATGGGGTATAAGTGTTAGAGACAAGGGTAGCAGACGATGAACAATTGAATGATAGAGAATATGCAGGTATTATTTTGCCATTCTATTGCATTTGTCACTACTGCAACTTGATAATGTAATCTTGTAGGCCACAAGTGCTCCTCATTGAGATAGACCATTACTTACCCTCATTTTACAGATGATAAATGGAAATCACAAGAAGCCACTTTTCCAAGGTCACACAAGGAATTTGTAATAGAGTCAGGAAGAGCCTGGATCCTGTCACAGTCTGCCAAGGAACTTCCTTTTCTGGACCAGCAAGATTTTTGGGGTGGACTTAGGTGCATACTTTAACCCACTTCAGGTTACCCAGTAAAATATCTACTCATGCATGCATTGAGAGTCAGATGAAGTAATATTTGCACCGTGACTTCATTGCTGCTAAGTGAGTTATTGTTGGTAGACTTCTTGGTGATGACTTTTAGTGCAGAGTAACACACTGAGGGGCTTTTTGCTTACTGGAAGGAGATTGCTGTTTCTTCCTCCATCTCATCAGACTCTGTTAAAAAAAAAAAAAAATACAGCTTACACTTTCAAACATTTTCCAGCAGGATCATGACATTGAATACTTTCTACTTGTGCTTATTTATGGGTGGAGCCTTAGTTACTCTGTCCCAAACAGTTGCACCTTGCTAACCTGTGCTTTCATTTGGAACTGAGGCTTAACTCGAGCCTTCCTAAAGTGGGGTTTTACAACTGCTGCACAATTATGTACATGTTGTATTTCTTTTCCCTGCTAACCTGCTTCTCACACACACACACACCCCCGCCACGCACATCCCCTGCATTCTGAAAGCGAACTACACACTATGTAAAGCTTGAGGGGATTTTTTGGGGGTGGAAGTCCATTACAGGAGTTGTTGGACGGGGAAAAGATAGTTCCCTTAATACATTTCAGAACTTGTATTCTTCTGCCTGAAGAATGTGAGAGAACCTGCCAGTGTTTTAAAAACTCTTTGTAATTTGAACAGTAGGTGATCTGGCAGTTTTCAATTAAAACTGCCCTGGACCTTGATACCATTTAAACTGTGGCTGTGGAGAACAGGAAGGCACAACTACAAGTCACGAAGTGGGACAGGGCAGGAATACATTGATACTTGTCTGGCATTTAGAATACACTTATGTGCTGTCCTCGACACAACAAACCCAAAACATCTAGAATCACAGCTTGGGTGTTAATAGAATTTCCTGGTATCTTATCATATGGGAAGAGATGTTAAGACAGGGGAAAAGCCACTTGGTAGGAATAGTTCGGTAGCATAGTGCCAGTCCAGGGCACTGTGGTTAGTCAGAGTACTGACTTACCCTTTAATGTGATAGTTCCAAACAAATGCCTGGCCCTTGAGGAAATCTTGAATCTTGGCACAAGCAGCATGGATCTTCACCCTGTGCCTTCTGTGGGCATTCCACTGGTGTCAGCGCAGAAATCAGCTTTGACTCGTTTATTCCGCCCCTTCGTTCTAGGCACCGACGACTTGCAGTTGAGTGTAGTGTTTGGGTCAGTGAGTCCACTTGCCTTATGAATTCTGGTCTTTCAGTTAAGCACTCTGATGAAATAACTGATTTAATGATGACACAAAAATAAGCTAAAGGAGTATATGGAAGCTTAGCAGTCACTCTGTGTGGGTACCTCTGCGTGATGATATGAACTGCACTGAAGACTCAACCTCCTTATTCTCAGTTCTTCTAATTACTTCTTAGCTATGTAGAGCCCAAATAACGTTGTATAAATTGGGTGCCTTACACTTTGAATTTAAAGTAATTTGGCTAAAGACATTTCCTGGTATTTCAAATTCTTACCTGCTTCAAGGGAACAGGTACTTGAATTCCAATAGTCTGATTTGTTACAACTTTTTATTATAGCAGTGTCTGTTTATTACTAACAAAGATAACAATGTTTCTTGTAATCTTGCATATTTTACAATTAATGCCAGCTATGGCCCACAGTTTCCAGTAATGTGCAGGTTAATGACAGATGGAAAACATTTGTTGTAATATATGCAGGTATTTGGAAGAAAGTATATCCGACTATATTCACCACAAGAATCAGAAAACCTGTACCCACATGAAAGCCAAATTCTTCACAACACTAGTCAGGTAAATAGTTACCTGAAATTCTAATATCAGTAATGTTACTTTATCAAATTATATTTGAGTAAAGACATTCTACTGATGATTGTTTTGGGTTTTTTTATAGGTTGATGTGGAAGATCCTGACTTACTTAAATTTCCCAATTTCCAAAAGGCTGCATTTCAGTCCTGTATTCTGATGCCTGGACAGGTTCTGTTTATTCCAGTTAGATATTGGCACTATGTACGATCACTTGATATCAGCTTCTCTGTCAGTTACTGGTGGTCATAGCATGCATAAGCTCCGTTGGCATTGCAGTAAGAATTAAAAATCGGAAAAAGTAGCATCTGGCATCTTCTCACAAGAGAATTCTTTTTTAAGCATGAGAATGTTCTTCCGTATCTAGAGGTTAGAGGTGGATTAAAAAAAAAAAAACAAACCCAACAAACTCTTGCTTCGGAATGGTGAAAGAATCTGGATGGGTAAATGGAAAGAAGATGCTACAGCCACTTTATTTTTGTGGATGTTTCTCATATGAATGCCTCTTAAAGAGGCATGTTAGGTCACCATCTTGTATACGTGTGTACATCTGAAACAGTTCTATATGTGGGCACCGTCAGGACTCTGCTTCAAACTATATTTGGAACATCAGGTTAGTGTTATCTTCTACTCAGATTTAATAACAGTAAAAACTGACATAAAATAACTGTAAAAACAGTTACATAAACAATGAGGGATGGTGCTACCCAAAGGTTCAATACATTTTAAAAAAAAGCTAACGCGAAGCAAGATACCAATCTCTTATACAGAAGAAGTTACTAGAGTTAAAGCATAGCGACATAATAAATTTCAGTTAATCCACAATTTAATTGCAGTTAAGTAAACTGAAGCTTAATTGTACTTTGATTAACGAGCAGCTGAACTGTTGACACTGCCTTCTGCAGTGTCACACACTTCTATCAAGAAAAGATGCGCTGCCATTCCATTCTGGTACCTGGCAGTATCTAGTCCTTGTCTTTTTTTCAAGTCACTCTTAAGGGAAAAAGCATCCCTACATAAAACTTCAGAGTTAAGTGCTAATACTGAAACCTAAAAGAATCTTAAGATGATTGTTTTTTCAACACTTTGCACACATAAGCTGGCATTGCCCCAAAAGTCTTGCCCTACTCCTTCCCAACTGGGAAGGAGTATTTCCTCTCGTACTAAGCATAGCTGCTTGTGACCTGGCCTTATGTTGGATGAACTCTTCTGTGTCCAAAGAAGGGACAAACCCCAAGCAACAGTGCCAACCGAAAGTGTTCAAACTCTAGTCCTAGATCAGATACTCAGCCAACTGCCTTAGTGATGAGACCACAAGTGCTGCATTGATTTTTTTCACCTACTTAAAGCTCTGTGGTGGTAGTAACAGGTTTCATTTTCAGTTGTACAACTAGAACTGGGCAAATAGGGAACACTGTTGCTGAGAAAGGCTTCTTCTAATAGTTCACCTGCATAGATCAGCTTGCAGGATTGACTAGAAATAGTTACATCTTTCATTCCCAAACACACGCTGAGAGTCCCAGCCCAAGGATATGGAGAACTACATACACAAAACGGCCTCCAAGAAAGCTATGCAGGCATAACTGTGAAGAACAGGAAAGTCAATGATATTTTTATTTTAAGATTCATAAAACTTCAGGGAAAAAAAAAAAGTATACCGAACAATGCACTGTTACTAATGAATACGATACAGTCTGGCTATTCTGCAGGAGTGGGGAAAAAGGTTTCACTGAAAGCAAGTTTTAATATCATCGTCTAATGCTGGGAGTGAAGCTCTTCTCTGCTCTCCCTGTTTTTGATGGTGACTGGGAGTCTATTTGACTCATACCTGTAAAGAAAACAAAAGGAAGGTTAATGAATGACACAAAAAAAGGGATGATATCGTATAACCTCCAGATTTTGAAAATGCTTTATATATTCTATATATTCTTGTATTCCTGTTCAGAATGTCCGATTTCCCTGGCTAAACAGAGGAATTCTGAAGAGACTGTGCTCTTCTTAGAAGCTTAATATTTCCAGTTGTCATGTGTTGTGTCTGTCCCCTATTCCCCGCGCCCCCCCTTGAATGTTGTTAAAAAACAATATGCATAGGATCTGCTAGTTACCATAAGGCACAATTCTTGCACTTTCAGGGCTCAGTGTTGCCCAGGTATGGTTTACTGTCTGAAACGTACAACTAAAGTCGGAAATAATTGATGTTCAATTACAGTTATAAAGAATACAGGCAGTGCCACTGAATATCACAATCCATTCTGTAGTATTATTATACTCAATTGTTTTCAAAATAGGATGCTTGGTACCTGGAATGTCACAAGACCAGAAATCATTACACTGTGGACAGCGTGGTTCAGTCTGAGCTCTAAAGTACTTTCTGACACAAGGTAAATGCATTCCAATTCCACAGGATTCACATACTTGGCTCTGAAATAAGAAGTGTTGATAAAAAAAAAAAAATCTTTCTAACTTGTCCTTCAGTTTGACATAGAGTTGTTAACAAATGGCAGCAGGTATGTAACGCTTTATTCCAAAGAATGGTTCACACAGGACAGTTGGTGGATACGCAAAAGTCAAAGCTGGTAAATGATAAAAGGATTTCTTTTCCTGGAAACTAGGAAGTAACCATTTCCCTATATGGACAAAATTTAGCTTGAAAGACAAACAACAGTGAGCATATTTGGGTGCAATAAAGGCGACCAGTTGGGATGGAAAAAGTAACATAGAAGCATGTTACTTGGGAAGATGAGAAGATGATACAGGGTTAAGGAGCAAGAGAATGCAGTCATTTTGGAATAGGAGTTCAGGCTGTAACTACTTATGCAAGACTAAACTGGTAACATACCAGCTATCAAAACACAGTGCTTCAGCGTGCTATATATAAGTATACACGTTCATTCTGAAGTCCAAGACACAGGCAATTTCTGAACCAAAGTCCCAGGACCAAAGATAAACATATGTCACATGAAGACTGCTTTTTATAAGGTCCAAAGATAAGATAGCTATCACTTCACTGTTTTGCCTATTTAAGGAGTTCATCTCTAGCCTGCTGCTTTGGAAAGCAAGACAGCACAATAATGTTTGTCATTGGCTGAGTTTGCTTTCTCCAAGTTTATACTTGGAGATACTGCTCCAAGACAAGATTTTTTTTTCCAAAGACAGAAGATAAAATACCTACACTGAAAAAAAAAGATATTTTCTTTATATACATGGGCAGCATTACCAGATTACAAGACCAGAATTTTTCAGTGCCTGCCTAATACTCAAAGGAAAGTATCACAAACCTTCAGCTATGACCACATAAATACATCAGCAGAAGCCTACTGCATAAAACAAGTATTATAAATAAATAATATTTTATTTATAATAAAACAAGTGTTACCTGGATGGCAAGGCTGTGACAGATGTTACACTTCCTTACCACATCTTGGTAGTTGCTGAGAATGTATTGTTCCATCTCAATTATGCAGCGAGTATGCAGAGTATATTCTCCGTTTTTCTATGGAAACAAGTGGCAAGATGAGGAATTTCTTTTAATTCCTTTTATTTTTTTTTACTTTTCTAGCCACCTGCTAGCAAGCATTTGACATGCACTTTTTTCTGCCATCACGAAACTAACATGCTGACACTAATACAATGCAAAGCCGAAATACTTTTGAAGTAGCAGAATTGTTTAGAGGATCAGCCTAAAGATCTCACACCTTTAACAAAGGTCTAGTCCTTGGAAAGTACAGATGAACAAGCATGCTCTCTTTAACAAAGGCATGCAGTTTCAGGACCTTCCATTTGCACATTAGCGGAAATTCTACTGGCTTTCAGCAAAATCTAGGCATTTATTGCCTGAGGTATCTTTGAAAAATCTCTGCTAAATCACTCTAACATAATTAAACTTATAACAGCAAGTTGGAGATCTATGATGCAGTGAATCCAGGAGAAAAGGGATTGAGGTCTCACTTGTCTTGGGAAGCAACTGCAGTGTCCATGCAGTAAGCTAATCTCAATTTCTCCCTCATGAAGTAAAGGAGATTTAAAAATGTGCAGTGGCCCCTGCATTTCTGGTAGAGTTTTCAACATGTTTGGCCTCACTGCTTTTCAGGATAGTCTGCATGTAAGTGGCTGCACTGGTCACCCTGAAGAGCTGAAGTTTAAGTATGCTGTGCTGTTGTGTACAAAGGATGTCTGTAAGCCGCAATGCAGGGCTCTACTCACATACCCACCCAGCTCAGGTACAAGAAACCGAGACCGTGTTGTCCTATATAGACCTACCCAAGGACTTTTACTTTGTAAAAGTACTACCTTTTCTGCAAAAATCACTGGAACGGCAATGAGCACAGGCCCCACCATAAAACCATTTTTGCCGTCATTCATTAAAGAACAGCTCCAGTTTCAGCCATCACATCCATGAGAAAATAATAGCTAGACCTATTAAAATACAAACACTTGAAAAGATAGAGCAGCTACCTCAGAGAGCCACTTATCCTCCACAAAAACTTTCAGCACTTGTTCTGCTTCCTTTTTCTTCATTTTCTTTGTCTTAAGTTGGTCGGTCAAGTTTAAAATATCTGTAGAAGAGGCAAAGCCATTTTCTGATGAAATGATTAGGTCCATCTACAGAAAGAAATATTTTCAACTATTAAAAAAATGCAATTGGATAGACACACCTTAGAGTAATATGCAGCTTTTTAGCATCCATACATATGAGATACACTACAGTACATGGTTCAAACCAGAACTGTAAAACAAAGGCCAAAAGCTGAAACAGTCACTGTTACCCTGACAGCTTTAACCTTTGTCAAGGAAACATTTCCACAAATAGAACTGTACTGTGCTGCCTAAATGAAGCTGCATTCAGGGACCCTTGAACATACACTCAGGGGTGACAAATCTGTTTTTTTTTATCTGCTCTTTGTCAAGGTTCTTTTGAGGAAAAATCTCTCACTACTAAAGTTTGTCCATTCTGGAGTCATTAGTCCCACTGAACCTACCTGGCACTTGAAGGTTGTAGCAGTATTACCAATCTTCAAAAAATCTCTCATTGGAAACATTCCTGCCGCTCATCATCACACAGCAGCATGCAGAGTTTTTATGTCAGTATTACTACGTGCCAAGATAATTCCATCTCTGCAGTGCTGACATGGCTGCGTAGGTGCTTCACCAGTAATGGGGGAGGGCGGGGAAATCTCTGGGTACTTTTCATGTAGATTAGACTTTTGCAGCTGTCACAGAATAGTCAATGCACCTCTCTTTCCAGTTTATACTGAAAATTTTATTTTAATGGATGTGCAAAAAAAAATTTAAAAGTCTAGTGGCTGGAGAAATTAGGTCCTCAAAGTTCAAGACACTATGAGAACAACTCACCAAAACATGCAAGATGCATAGCTATGATCACAACTCACATTAATGGTTGTTCATAACAAATTAGACATCAAATTTGCTAGAATCTCACTCCAATAGTTCTATTTACAACTTTAGAAAATTCTTAAGTGTATGTTTTCTTGTTTAAAAAGGAGCATTCTGACTAATTTATTAAATACAGCTAAGCAATAGCAACAGACAAATGTTTCTACTCAAATCAGCAAATCCAACTTGTATGTTATTAGCATTAAAATCGACTGTGTGTTACTAGGCTACTGAAGCCAGTAAATTCAGCAATCACAACCGAAAATGCTGAAGAAAGGTGTTTGTTTAACTAAAAGCAGGTACGTCAAGTCACTGACTGCAAGGAGCAGTCCCATATTGCTGATGTCAGTTTACATCATTACTTGCCTATTATTTCCATCACACAGGACCACCCCACCCCCCATTCAATTTGGGATAAACTTAGTTAGGATGGCAACTAGTTTCTGAACCACATCTCCATTCATTTCCTTTTCCATTCGTTTTAAGGTGGTATCTTCACAAATAATGTGATTTACTAACTAATAACACATACTTACTGTTTTTCTGAACAATTCTAATTCATTTTCTGTATAGTCAGATGCCATTTTAGTTATTTCAGTTTCTGCCAAATTCACCTACAAAAAAAAAATACTTAAAGTGAAATCAAAGTGCTTTTGTATTTCTACACCATCAGTTGTAAAAGATCCTCTGGGTAAAGAATACATCATCTTACAATTAATAGAAATGTCACTTCTTTAAGTGGCATGAAAGAGGCTGTTCCTTAAAGATGGCACTCAATGGTACTCGAGTCCTTTCTTTACAACCCCTGCCTCTGCCCAGTCCAAGTTCTTAAACAACCCCCCCTCCCCGCTACAGAACTAATATAGACTATTAGTTCCATATAGTAGAACTAATATATTACACCAGGATACTATGCTGGACAGTAGCAGTAACTATGTTATAATACACATTTTTGTTTCACTGTGAAAAACAGTTACTGCTATTCGATATTCTTATTGCACATGCTACTGCTATTTATTATTGGCTCAACTTAATTGGCAAAATGACCCAGAAAGGTTAAAGCAGAAGCTAATGTTAGAATGCCTCCTGTACGGTCTTTTGAAATTACTATATAACCTTCCCTCTCTGACATGCACATTTCAGAGCATCTAGGGAAACTTTTTATAGGCCATTCCTCAGGAACCCTTTTATGCTAGGTTTATTTTTAAGAGAAAAAACTGAAGTTGGAAGGCTCTCTGTGTTTTCTAGCTTAAAAATTCCTTTTGAGAAAGAAATTCTTCTGTGAAAAAGAACTCTCACTTCAGCACTTAAGCAATGTTTATTTTAAATAAATCAGACGCTGCTGTAGTCCTTGCTGCTGTGTTCCACTTCCGCACACCTAGGCTGCTGGCACTTTATCCTCCCTCTTCCCTGTTCCAGAAGTAGCTTCTACAGCCACTGCCAGCGTAACGTGAACAGCCCCACATAAACCACACAAGACATTGCTAAGAGTAAGAAGCCTGCTGGCACACGCAGCCTTCAGTTCTAGGTTCTCTTTGTTTTCTCTAAATAGCAGTTCTATTATAGATATACTGTAGGAAAAGGACAGCCTTATGTTTATTATGCACAGATACAGCTAGATTTTTTTTTTTCCCCCGTTTACAAACGGAAGGTGTGCAGACCTTTTATTGGCATGTTATTAAAAGGTTAATTTTAAGTTGGAGACACGAGAAGCTCCTTCTGCTAGCTTCGAGAAATGAAACCACACGATGGCAGCACATTGCATACTTACTAAAGCATAATGTGCTCTCCCATCACCTTCCGACATTCCTTTCCGGATCTGCATAAACAAAGGCTGGAGATGGCTGTTAATGGTACTGACGAAATCATCCAGTTTATCATGCGCATAGTAGACTGAAAATAAACAAGATAAAGCACATACACAAAAAACCCAAACAACACGAAGCAGAACTTCTTATGTTTTATCTGCCAGGACAATTTTTCCCTAGGTAAAAGAGCTAAAAGTTAGTGAGGCAGAATTCAAACAGGTCTGCTATATTCAGCAGACATATCATTTTATGGTGGCGCTGACTACTAGCCTTCAGAGAAGCTCAGCTCCTTGAAAGTCAGAGTTCAGAGAGAGAGTCCAGATGTTCTGTCTCGCTGTATGGGACTCGCAACATTAATCCGTTAATTACAGTGACTTGCAGAAAGTTGAATTGAAAATAAAACATGACCAGGAAAAATTATTATACACAATACAAAACCACAGTTGCTTTCTCTCATTTACACACAGGGGATTCTTTGTTCCTTTGTGTTCTGTTTCACAAATTAATAGAATGTAAATGATCACATTACATACCAAAAAACCTTAAAATTCTAGCTTTGTAGAAATACAGCTAGTATCTTCTGTCATGTTCTAAAAACAAATTAAATACTAGCAGAAGTTCTACCATGTACATAATTAAGGTGGACTTCGGAGTCATTCCGTAGAAGCAGGTGCTATGGCTTTTGGCGGCAGAGCAACACCACACACCCTCACGAGTTTCCATCCAAAACACAATGATGTCAGTGGCAAAACTTGACTTCAGCAGGCCAGGGTTTCAAAAACAGAGCTAAGTAACAGCTCGTAACTTTAGAGAAATGATTGTCTCAAAAATACTACCAGTTATCACTAACTTAATACTATTCTCAGTTATAAGCATCCATCACTTGTGTAACAGCATCAGACAGACGTCCCACTCTCAAAATGCCACCATACAGCGTAGGACAATGCAAAAACATCAGTCACAGGATGTTCCTGCCCAGAAAGTTCATGATTCTTATATATGACTCCTTAAGTGAACAAAAGAAACAAACAGGAAGAACAATAATAAAGTATAATATTAAAGAAGTATAATTTTGTCAAGTTGTCGTGCCACCTGCCTGGCACCTGTCAGCAGCAAACACTGCATACATCAAAGCCAGGGAGTGTTAGTGATAGATCTAAAAGAGGGTAAGATGAAGGATAACATAAGAACATTCTTTTTTACAACAGCTGTAACATTTTAATGAGAGATGAACGGCTGCCCAAGTAGATCTTCTGTGAAAAAAAGGGATACAAGCTCTCCATAAAAAATTTACAATTCCAGACTCAGGAGAAATGATAGATGCCCTTTACTATTTGCAAAAGCTTATAGTTTATCTCTACAAAGCAGTTCTTGTACAGGCAGCCATAGCAACTGATTGTATAGAAACCATTCATTCAAATACATTATTGCTGAAAACAAGTTATTTACTGTCAACAGATTTGATGAGAAATTATACAGACTAATGCAATCTTCATTAAGTATCCACAATCTTTGTATTCTAACTATGCGTGTGCAGGAATCTCTTTGTCCTTTCTTCTTGGTAAAATACCTCAGAGGTGTCAATAGTACTTCTACTAAAGACTGTATTTAAGAAGACCTTGTTGTAACCTGAGTAGGTTAGATGCATACTGGAGCCAAGACTACCCTACTTCCAAAATACTGGATTAAACTTTCCAGTTACTTTTCCAGTAACTTCCCCTGTAAAGCGTAGTACCTTAAAAAAATATAATCTAAGATTTAGTTACAATTGCTGTAAATTATTTTTTGTAACAGAAATAAATTATTTTCTTCTCTCTCAACTAATACTATATCACAGATGTACTTGTTGTAATCTGTTTTCAGTCAAATAAAATTAGAGGAAATTGTTGTGTTCATAATTGGGTACTGGAATAGCAAAGTTGTTCATAAAATTTAAAACCAAGTATATGCAGGAACCAGCTATTATTCTTTCTGCCAATAAACAATTCTCAGCTCTGAACACTTAATAAAGTTAACACGTGACAGCATTAGAAAAAGAGTTCAGTATGTGTTACCCTACAACACTGCTTGGGAGCATTTTATTTAGAAGACATTATTTCCGTTCAATGACAGATAGCAGATGAGCAAATAGGAAACAGTAAATACGTGGAACACAAATATTCTGGGGGTGTTCACGTTGGTTTTTTTTCCTAAATTTATACAAACTCTTAATAATAAATATTTTTCACAGAAAAGCTGAACAGATCCCTCACTGAAGATAAAGCAAAGGTGCTCAGAGAAACCAGAAACTTTTCTGAATGTGTCTGTATGCAAACTATAAACAGCAGGTAGCATAACAAACTTACACTCTTGGTTAATTATCACTTTTCAACAGACACCATTTTAAACATTCTTGCCTAAAGATGAATGAACAACAGGAATCTTTATTACTTAGTCTGAGATGCCACAGCTTCATGATAAATTTAAAAATATACTGGCACCGTTATAAAATTAAAGCTCCCGTGTCTACAGCAAAAGACTATAAATAAGCTGAGTGAATGCTTTATAAGAAAAGAGATAGGACCTTTACTCATATAAAACCTAAACACATAGTTATCATTTCTGGGTACTTCAGCTTCCATCTTCTGTGCAACCAGAAGATTAAGCAGAAGATTAATTACAATTCTAGTTTGCAAAGTAGCATTATGAAAATGTCATGTTTTTCTTTTACTTTGATGACACCGACCAGATGTAATTTAAGCCACTGGCGACTGGTGTTGATATTTATGGTTGATTTTCAAACCATATTTAAAAAACTAATATACTAAAACAAAATAAAAACTATACAACAGCTTTTGGCATGATCAGTTTGCAAACTTTAGAATTAAACAAAAAGCTAGAACAAGCCATGAAGAATAAAATCCAAAGTAATTTGTCATGTTAAGTCACTGATGCTCAGTTTTCATTTCACAGAAGAATAAAAGAAGAATAAAACATTCAGAAAAGTTAATTTATTTGAGGAAAAAAACGTGGTGGGGTTTTGTGTTGGTTTTTTTTTTCCAATTTCCTTCCGTTACTCTGTTAGTACTAAGATGATTAATACACTAAGAAGCTCCCTATCAAGATTTGAAAATGCTGCCATCTAACTTTATTATAGCTAGAAAAAAATGAAGCAACACAACCATTACCGGTAAGAGAATCTAAAAGCTTGTTTATAAATCCTTTAAAAACAAAACATTCTTAATTACACTTTGCAGCAACATGTTGTACAATACTTCCCCCACCCCCCCCCCCCGTTCAACATGAAAAACAAGCCAGAACACTTCCTTGTAACAGCACAAGGTATTATATACATAAATACATAAAACCTGGCAATCCCTGCCTCGGAGAGCTTAATGACGTTTGAACTATGACTACGTCATTCACTGTTAATATTTTTATATGTATCCTGCTTTACATTATTTTAAACTCACATGAAACCATTCACATTAAACCTCTTTCTACACATACATTTACAATATGTTTCAGACTTTCCATGAAAAATAGAACCACAGGGAAGAAGAAAAACTTCTGCAATAACAATCTAGAACAAAAACAGATGGCACAGGAGTTTAGGGAGGAAAAATACTGTTATTCAAACAGTGCAGATGGATTTTCACCAGCACTGCAATGCTGATACACTTGAAAAGTTGTAATGAACTTCAGTAAGGACTCATAGCCAAGACTTCAGTTTTAAAGTGTGACCACTAACCCACTACCGGAGCAATGACTAACACCGACACTCTGCGACAGAGCTGGTTCAGTACAACTGGAGACTGGCACATCCCATCTTTTTTCAGTCGTCTTAACACGGCGAGTATTGAATTTTGACCCAAGGGATACAGTCAGTCTTCATTACAAGAACAGCTAAATGAGTAATTGATAAGCTTCTCTGCATTTTATGATTCTATCCAGCTACAAGGCATCTGATATGCAGCAAAAAATATTTAACAGAAAATCTGGCCTGCGTTACACAGGACACAAAAACAAATTGCTTCGTTCTGACCTTAAATTCTATAGAAAGTAGATACAATCCACAGTAAAAACAGAAGAGCCCCTGTAGAGTGGGTAGCACTGGGACAAGATACAAGAATACTACTGAGCCTGGCAGAAGCCTGGCTTCCACAACTAGTCATGGCCAATATGATGCAGATGAGATGGGAGAAAGTACAGCCATCCACCAGAAAACCTCATCTCATCCTCACCAAAATGTTTCCTCACCATTCACTTTTCCCACAACACGTAAGAGAAGTACCTGAAGTGTATTTACTAAAAAGCGTTCCCTAAGCTATAGCGAAGTACTGCTGGGGAATTGTGTGATCTCACTGTCTATACTCCCACTGATCTTCCCCAGTCCCTTTTCTGTCAGTGCCTTCTGATATTCTTCATTGTCTACACAAAAATGCCTAGTTTGAGGAGCCAAGAGCCATGTTTTCTTTTTCTAGTTTTGACATATCTGATGCACTATAAAGCAAAATATCTAAACAACGGTACAGTGGATTTTTCTGTTGTTTTGCAATGCAAACACTTCTCTGGTATATGTATATGACTTCAAACAGATGGTTATCTGCAAATTTCACCACAGATAACAAAGATTCCTCCAAGCTCTAGCTGAATTTTGCAGACAAGATATAAGCATAATGAGCACACTGGGTCACACATAGGAGCAGCTGCTGGGGCTCTTCCTAGAATACTAAATACTAAAAGACATACAAAACATGTAAAGCAAAAATGCTTGTCTATTCTATGAATCCCTGCTTTTATACATATAATTTATTTAGTGGGTCTTTCAACAGCCAAGCACAAAATATATTATGCTTTAGAAATTGGTATGACTGTAGACTAAAGTTGATACCAGCAGTTATTTTCTTCTGAGTTCAGTTACCGAGCCAGTTAAATAAAACACAAAACACAGTCAGACAAATGCCAGTCTGATACAATGCACATTAATGAATGGTTAATCCATACACTCCTGTAAATCCAAATGGGCAGGAAAAAAGCAGGTTTCTCTTATTCTTCCATTTTTCTAAACATCCTTTCATATATGGACTGTATCAACCATTTTTCTAATGAACTTCACTGTAACTTAATATACAGTTACATTTCATAATGAATTGTATAAATATTACCTTCAGTAAATATGGCCATCGGTTTGAAAGGCAACCTGATTTTGTCCCTCCAAATTATCCTTAGGTTCATCAAAAATATAGGAAAAGAAAGTGGATCTGTGTTTTCTGTTAACCTTCTGGCCTTGAAGAATATGGCAAAGAAAACGCTTGTGAATGACCATGTCTTTGGAAAATAAAATGCTGGTCATGAAAAAGCCCAACGTTATATTTAAATAGTCATCAAATGAAGATGTGCTGAATCCAAGAAAAACTAATAAACTTGGAAACCTATCAAGGGACAGAGAGCACATGAATCTCAATATTTATTCCATGATCTGTAAAAAAAACCAACACAAAACCACGAACAAACAGAAGTCATGCTATTACAGAGAGATATGTTTTCCAGGGGAGAGGCACCATATTTCCAATTGTACTATTTATAGTAGTGTAAGCCCAGAGCTTGTTATGAAAGCACTTCACTTGGCTTGGAAGACAGCAGGAAAAATAACCACAAACTCTCCCACTTTTTAGCGTTTCCTGATTTCAGGCTGGGGTCAGGGTCAGAATAATACTCTACATACTCTCCTCCCACAGACGGTGTCTTGTAAAGGGATTCAACAATAGCCAACTCGGATACTACCACTTCCCCGACTACACAAACAAAGGAAAAACCAGCTTGAACCCACAGACAACACACAAAGCCACTCCAGAAAGGATGCTGAGAATGTCGTGGTACCTTAGCTGTTATAGAATGCTAGAGATCTGCAAGATGTCTTAAACTTTGACCTGAAGTTTTTACTATAATAGGTTTCATAAGTGGAGAAGCTATAACACAATGCAGACAGAAAGAGCACACATTAAGGGATTCCAGTAAAGAAGTATTAGCAATTATAATAACCTTCCTCAACAAGCCTGCAATTTGTATCCTAGCTGAGAGTAAGTGTTAATCTTAACATTTTCTAGTGGTTCTACACAGCACTTTGATAGATGTTAGGAGCTTTTCCTTCACAGCTGTGTGCAGATTTTAGCACAGACACGTGTCTGCTAACAGGGAGCATGCAGGTGATACACAAAAAGTAAGACAGTATCTCCTGGCCTAAAGGTTTAAGATTTTGAAATAAACCAGAACAAGAAAATGTGCCAAACACCAAGAGGGAAAGTTTTCAGATCACTTTGCTCAGAAGCTGCACAAGCTAGTTACTATATGACTTGACTTCATTTGACACAGCTTTTTTTCCTTTTGTATTTAAGGAAACCAATGTCAGAGAGAGGAGACAGCCTTGTTACATAAAGCTTACAACCTCCAGGAGAAAGGAATTAATTCAAATAAGCTCGTTTTAGTAACATTAGCTTGGATCCAGTTTGAAAATTATTGTTCAGATTGCACTAAGCAGGATTAAAATTTATTTGAAGAAACTACATCAAAATAAAAACTTACATCTAGAAACAGTCTAGTCAGACTGAGTTTCCTCATAAAAATGCTATTACCATGTTCTCGTAAATTGCCATACCATTAACTTTGCCCCTAACAAGGATGGGTTTGTCAAACCACTGGTTCTTATGTTCATAAAACAAATGTGGGGGGAAGTGTTCCATTCAGTGAGTCAAGTTCAACATCCTTTTACCTCCCAATGGGACAAAAAGCTTTCCTAGGTAGAGCATTTAATAAAACTGTAACAGTTAAAACTCCCACACTGTATCTGTGTAATGTCACAAACTTTCCATTACACTCCGTCACTATGCAGAAAAAATACCAAGTACTTGGTAGGCAGCAGTTGCAGCGGAGCCATTTTTTTCTAAATTCTTCTATTAAATAAACCTTCCTAATGAATAATAACTCTATTGGCTCTTACTGCAGTACAGCTCACTGACCCTGCATACAGAAAACAGAATCCACCCATAACGTTCATTTTCTTAAGGTTCTTTGTTCTGAACACACAATAAACTCATTATAGCTATGCTACTGGCTTAGGCTAACTCTAGCATTTACGATAAATTCTATTACAAATCAGAGTGGCCTGGTTGTCACAAGCACGGGAGTAAACCTGTAAAAAGCAATGTAAAAAGCTTCCATTTTTTCAATCAGAAATTTGGGGAGGTGCTGAAATAAGCTCTTTTGGCTCAGAAGAGTTTGAAAACCTACGGAGTCTGTTTGACTCCTTTTAACTAAGGAAAATACAAAAATAGTGCCATCTCCCAGAAAGGACTCCACTTGTGGCAACAAAGCAAGATGGAGTTCACAACAGGTTGTGCACATCAGTGACAACAGTCTCCTCCCTCTTAACAGAGACAAAAAACAGTTAGCGATGGAAATGTAAAGTTATCATCCCAGTTAGCCACCAGCAACTAACAGTTCAGTTCCCCTGCAGTTACTGGTTCAGCTCTCAACAGACTCATGCAGATATCCTGAACTAAACCCCTCAAATAACTGTTAAGACAGCTTTTATGTTTAAAGTCATAAATACTAGAGAACTAGAAAATAACTTGAGACATATATTCAGTGCATATTAGATCTCAGAATGTAATTTAAACAACATTTGCTGGAGTTGCCTGCCTTTCAATAGTAATGGTTTAAAATCACTAATTTGAACAGTATTTGGGTGTCTCCTTTTAAATGGCACTTTTTGTTCTTACACGTTCCTTGTCCTTTTAAATTTCATTCATAAATAAGGAAAAGATGAAAACAGAGGAATTTTGTTCTTTCACTATTTTCTGGGAACCAGCAACTGACACATCTAATACCTCTGATTAATTAGTGCTAAACACATTACTCATTACAGCTTTCTTTCAGTTTGTGCCCACCACATTTTCAAAATTAGTGAAGATGAAATACAGATCTCTGATCTGCAAGCAAATCTATAAAAAAAAATTCCTATTGAGTTGATTATACATTTCTGTACTGTTTAAGCTCGAACATGAACTCCAAACGGATTTGATTGTATACAACCAAATTTTGGTTACATGAGCCACAAAATTCAGCTTGCTATAGCATATATAAAACTAACAAGCTGACCATGGAATCGGTCAGAAGTGACAGATTTACTCAAGATGGGTAACAACATACACTTGAAATTATATTGCAAGGGAAATCTTTCCAAATAAGTATGAAAAAAACCATTCTGCAAATTTCAGCACTATCAATGTCAAAATTTTTTTTTAAATGTATAACATTAAAAAAAACATGTTTGCTAAAATAAAAACTGCTCTGTATGAGTCTGACCTGATTAAAACTTAGTTTCCTTATTGCTGTATTATTTTATCTTTTAGGAAAGAGAGAGAACACTCACATCATTAAAGTTTTTTAACTTTTTTTTAGATGGTGTATGCTTTCCAGAAAGCTAATTATTTGTAAGCTGCACCAGGAAAAAAAAAAAAAAATAGTTCTTCCATCTCCCTACTTTTTCTCCAAAAGAGAAACACACCTTTATGGATTTCACAGCAGCGCCTGTGTAATTTCCTAGCCTCTGATCCTTCCATTATGCCATGAGACATCAGGACCTGCAAGAACCGTCGATGAGCATCCGTCATCTGAGCTGCCATCGCAATATTCCACCAGGCTTCAACTGCTGTAGGAGGTGTAAGCTGGAATTAATGCACGTGTTCACGCAAATTAAAAATACACAGTCCAAGCACACAAAAGATTTTAATTAAACTCTCTAACACTGAATTAGGGCAAAAAAGCAGATCCCCCAGGCTGTTCTCAGGATACAGATGGTGACTAACTCCAAGGTCCTACAAGAAGGATGCAAAAGAACAAGCCCAACTAATTTTAGCTACAGAATAAAACAACGTAGGCGTTGTGCTATCATAGCCCCAAACTGAAAATAGTGTTGTATGTGTAACCATCAGCAGAACACCTTTCATAGTTTTGTGTTAGATGCTTCTGCTTACTACATCTCCCAGTAACTTGTCTAGAGTGTAACTTACTTTGGAGAGAAAATCCTCCTCTAAATGTTCTGAGGAACATCAGAACTAAACAAAAGCATCTCAAGAAATTCCTTGAGCCAAATAATCGTTAACTGTTCACAAGAAAAAAAGCTTCCAGACTCCTCCAAGCCCAGTTAACGGACCAAACTGAGGAATGCTGGTGTGCGGTCGGATTTTAGAGCCTCCCACCTCCACCCGCCCCGGCACAGGGGGCTCTCTGAGGCGCCGCACTCGCTCACTCAGCGCACCCCCAGGACGGCACCGGCCTGAACCCCGACCGCCTCCCAGGGCCCCGGAGGTGCCGACCGGGACACGCTGAAAGCTGCTGAAGGGAAAACGTGAAAAAGTTTCCTCATCAGTTTTCCTCATTCTTGGCAGTTTCTCTCCTCAAGAAGACC